GTGATTTTTGAGGCCAGCCTGGGCTACATAGCAAGTTCCAGGCCAGTCAGAATTACATAGTATCTTACTTAAGGTTTTTATTGCTGTAAAGAGACACCGTAACTACAGCAACTCTTTTTTATTGGTTTGTTTTTGTTTTTGTTTTTCGAGACAGGGTTTCTCTGTGGCTTTGGAGGCTATCCTAGAATTAGCTCTTGTAGACCATGCTGGTCTCAAACTCACAGAGATCCTCCTGCTTCCCGAGTGCTGGGATTAAAGGCTTGCGCCACCACCGCCCGGCTACAGCAACTCATATAAAGAAAACATTCAACTGGGGTGGCTTACTTGCAGTTTCAGAGTCTATTATCATCATGGTGGGGAGCATGGCAGGCAGACATGGTGCTGGAGCTGAGAGTCCTACATCTTCACTCAGAGGCAACAGGAAGTTGAATGAATGTCACACTGTGAGTAAAGCTTGAGAAAAAGACCTCAAAGCCCACCCCCACAGTGACACACTTTCTCCAAAAGGCCACACCTCCTAATGTGTGCCACTTCCTTTGGGGGCCATTTTCTTTCAAACCAGCACACATAGTGAGACCCCATCTTAATAAAGAAAGACAGAAAACAGGCAGTTGCGTGGAATTCCCAAGTGTCCTGCCCTCCCTCCTTGCCTCTTTTTCACATTCACATCATCTCATGCAAATGCCTTCTTGCGTCCATGGTGGTCAAAAGATGTTTTTGTTTTTAAAGCACCCCTGACTTGCTGTTCCTTCCACTGTAATAGTGTTCCCTGAGTGCTGGTGTTGTTTATATTCTCATAACTTACTGACCCAGTGAGCACTAATTTGAATATTGCTTCTGTGAGAGGAGCAATATTGTCTTTGCTGGGCAGTTTCGGGGCAGAGAATATATAATTTCTTGGGTCTCGAGTCCTTTAATTCAGGGCTTCCAGAATGATCTATGATCTTTTTAAGTGGAGCCATGACTTTCTTGCACCAAACCATGGAAGATCCTCTTTGCCTATTCAGATTCCATGGGCCAAGAAGGTGCACATGTGGCTTAGGCTGGTCCTTCAGCTGCACCAGATTTCAACGGTTTACAGGAAGGAGAACGGTTATGATATTGAAAGATATAAAATTCAAGATTTGGGTGTTGCATGGAAGACAGGGCCTACCAGAGCTCCCAGCCATGCCCTCTGTTAATAATAAGCTGGGTGCGCTCTTGTGTTTGTTCTCCTTATTCCCGAAAGTTCTAAACTCCTTAACAGGTCTAATATGAAGAAGAATTGATCACAGTGAGGCCTCGCCTTACCTGCTCCTCTCCTCTAACCTTGTGCTCACAGGCATCTCACACTGGCTGTGCTACTAAATAATGGTCTGCTGTGACTCTTGTTAAACCTGGAAGACTTCATTTAAGAAGGGATGACCCTGCTAGGATTTTGTAAAATAGAGCAAGATCTGGTTTAAGTCCAAACACAAAGACAAATGAGTATTTATAGGCAGGGATCTGCGCTGAAGGGTGGGGGATGTCACTGACTGAAAAATTACTAAGAGGAAGTTCTGGGGGCACAGGATGGTTCTGGCTAAACCTACTTGACAAGATTCTTATCCAAGGCAGGCTGGTGTGAGAGAATGAGGGTGGAGATTCTCACTAAACTGAACCTGCAGGATTCCTGATAAAAACCAGATTCTAGGAGAACAAAGACAGCTTGAGGTTGAGGCATGCTGAGGCTTAGTGGAGCCTAACAAGAATTAGGGCCAGCAGAGTCTTAAGCAGCCACAAATTGTTTCTTCGGTTTACTTTTAGTGTTTTTTTTTTTTTTTTTTTTTTTTTTTTTTGTGTGTGTGTGTATGTGTGCTTTGCCTACATGTATGCATGCATGTACTATAGCATGCCTGGTGCCCTTGTAGGCCAGATGAGGGTGTCAAGTACCTAGAACTAGAGTTAAGGATGGTTGTAAGTAGCCTTGTAGGTGGTGGGAACCGAACCTGCGTCCTGTGCAAAGCACTTGGGCTTTCAGCCGCTGAACCACCCCTCCTCCAGCTCCTACTCGGTTTATTTGACTAAAGAGACCCATTGTACAGATCCCTCTGTAGGATTGGCTGCTATGTCATGCTTGAGCTGGCCATCATTTGTGGGATGCTTTGAAGCAGTTATTGTTGTTAGTGGGAATTGAACCCAGAGGCCCATTCATGCTAAGCACCTGCTGCACCACAGAGCTACATCTCCAGCCCAGGGAATTAGATTTTAGATTGTCATGTTATATCAATCCATAGCTTCTAGGAAGCCCTTCCTCAGCTAAGGTCATTTCCAAAACGGGTGGGTTTCTTGGCTGCTTGGTCATGTGTTTGCAGGCATTGTGCTCGGTGAAGCCAAGGGTGGCAGTTAACCCGTGGTCTGCCTTTTCCAGCATTTTAGGGAAATGGACACATCAGACTTGCTCAACCACTGTAACATACAGTCCATGAAGGCTATGGAACGAGTTACTACTTTGTTGCCGCTTACTCTGAGTCCTAGACTTGAACAAGATGGGAGTTTTGGAAACTTGGGCTTCAGCTTCTCTCAACTCAAGCTGATGCTGCCCAAGTCACCCTTTGCCCTTTATCACTCCAGGCTGCCCCTAGGGAAGGTGTAAATAAGTGTATTGCATATGCTGTGCTAAGTGTATGGTGACCTTACATCCTGAGACAGGCTTGGCTTATGTTGTCCTGGTGTCATTATTAAGAATACTCCTTTTCACTTTTACAACTAAGGGGCACAGCCAAGATCTCATGAATGTTCAGGTATAAAAAGGGTACAAAGTGTAGAGTTGCTTTCCTACAGCAGGCCATTGAGCTGCTGATGAGAGAAGTTTGGCTAGCTAAGGCCAGGGGTCTTGGGAGAACTTGGGGTTCAGGTGGAAAAAGAGGTGTATTCAGGAACGTAGAAAGCTCTGCTGGCAAAGAGAAACTGTTCTGGGGGTAAGAACAGTAGCTGGCTTAAGTTAGATATTGTTTGCCAAGTTTACCCTTTGACAATTCCTCAAGGACAATATAATACACATCCAACTGTCTGGACACCATTGCACCTGCAACCTCCCCTCCCTGGCTTTGGGCCAGGCATGGAATTCAGGGCCTTGTGTGTGCTAGACAAGCTGTTCCCTCTGAGCAACATCCCCAGTGTGAATTTGTGTTTTTATGATCTCCTAGGTGTCCTTGGACATAGAAAGGTTAGATCTAGGTCCCTGCTGATGGTGGCTAGGAAAGCAGGATCAGCTAGGCAGAGGAAAGCCCAGTGAGAAAGCCCTGAGGGAAAGCCAGTTTAGAAGCTGAAGTTCTAAGAGGTTAGGGAGTGCAGGAACTATGTAAGTCACACCAAGGATGGAGAGAAGGGAAAAAGATTCTAGCACTGTTGAGGAAGAATGAACACCAGGCGCTGACTTACATGGATATTATCTTCAGGCCATAGGATACTTGTATCAAACTGAGGCATCTAAGGGATTCCTAATTTGAAGATTTACTTGGTGATCATAAACCCAAGACACCAAAAGTTGGATAGTGTTGGTATAGTTCTTGTAGACCTGAAACAAAATGACTTTTTTTTTTTTTAAGTTTATGACACACTCTTGACAGTCTTGTTTATCTCTGGCAAGAAGCAGTAATGAATTCTAAAGCATCATTCTGCCTTTTAATTATGGCAGGATGCCTGCCAAGCCTTATCTTGCATGTTTGCTTTGTTGTGGAGTATGTAAGGCCTTTGTGATTCATCAGCAGTATACACGTGTGGTGCCAGCTCCTTTCAGGGGAGACCATCAGTGCCCTACAAGTTTCATCGTGAGGCGCACTCTCTATGGGAATTGCAGCCACATCACAGATTCTCCGAGACTCCGAGAAATGACAGAAGCACAGGAAACACATTATTGACGCACCGAGAGTCTCAAGCTTGACCGTTGGAGGCAACGGGTTCACTAGGAGAGAGGGCCTGGGCAGTCCCTTGGTTGAATCCTTCAAAGATGGAAAAAAATTCTCTTCGCCTTCAAAGAAGAAAAGGCCTGCTGGCTTTGTACTGAAGTGGCAAATGTCATCAGTAACCAAAGACCTAGAAATTATCTGAAGATAACCTTAAAGTTATGAGAAGAAAGGACAACAGGAAACCGCTCAGGCTGTCTTGTCAGGGGGCAATTTTGCATTCTTTAGCCCTGGTCTGGTCACTCTAGAGCCGCCCCACCCCCCAACCCCCGTGAGTGTGGTTTGGTGCAGACAAGGCATCTTCAATTCTTGGCTGGAGAGGATGGGGAAGCGGGCTTCCTAATCCTGGGAGTAACGGGGATGGAGATGACTAACGTCAGGGAGCGGTTCCGAGGGGTTGTTTTTGTGTGTGTGTTTTTGTTTATTTTTAATAAGGGGCTTAACTTCTGTGTGGTCCAGCGTCAGCCATGCCATCAAGTCGTAGCGGCAGGAAGAACAGATAAAAGGGGAAGAGGAAAGGCGCAGCAGC